ATTTCCCCCCCCCCCCCTCGCTGTAGAACGGTGCAAATTTAGGCAACAAGGATGACTTTAAGGATGCTGGAAAACTCATCTGGGTTTTTTGCTCTGATATTACATCATAAAAAATATCTTGCATAGGGAAGTGAATGAGGAGTAACATTACCATCTCATATCTTCTCTCTGGTTGTTTTCTGCATTTATTTTTTGCTTTTTTGTTTGTTTGTTTGGGGTTTTTCAGGTTGTTTTTTGGTTTTTTTAACCGCGTGACCTTGGCAGAGCAGAGCCCAGCTCCCCAGCTTTGCTGCAGTAGGTGTAGGTGCTGTCACCCCCACCCCACTGTCCCCTGTCCCCCCCTTAACCCCCCCCTCAGCTGCACTCACACATCTCCCAGAGCCGTTAGACCACAGAGCTGGAAAAGCTGGAATAAGAGCATTTATTTTTTTTAAAAAAAAACACAACTCAATGTGGCGATGGTCTCTCATCTGAGCCAACGACAGAGAAATGGAGTATTTAAACCAACGAGGTGAATTTTATTATTTTTTTTCCCAACTTGTTGTTTGAGAACAGGAAGGGAATTGTTTACAGGCACCGGTCTCGGAGGGGACACCTCCTGTCCCATCCCATCCCAGGCAGGGGGGCAGAGGAGAAGGGACCACTAACGGCCCCCACGGAGGAGCCTGGCCCAGCGGCAGAACTCACACTACCCTTGGCTCCCTCTGTACCCCCCCTCACCAACATCACAACCCTTTTTGGTTTTTTAATCCATAATTTGGTGTAGAACCTTTAAAACCCCCTTATTCTGGCTTTTTCTAAAAGATCCCTCCACTCCCAAGGTGATGCCAAACCTCAACCTCTTCTCTCCAGCTTGAAAACATTTACCTGGTATTTTATTTATATTTTCAGCTTGATAAACACAAAAAAACAAACCACTGTGGGCAGATTCTGATCTCCCTGAACTGATGTAAATCCCAAATTAATCCCAAATTCTTGATTTACTTCAGGTTTACAGACTCCTCAGAGAGCACAATTTAATCCAGGGTGGATTTTTTTCCTGCTTGACAGAAATGTATCCTGTACCGCTGAAGAGAAAAAAATACCACCACGCAGAGGGAGATGGGGGGAATCTATATTTTTTTCTACTTTACAGATAGGTTTTAGAGTATCGAATGCAAATTCTGTAGTAACATTATTGTAGAACTGCAAGAAATTTAAGATGACCTTTATAATGTACAAAATATTTTTATATATTTTTTGTCTTAACGCAAAAAACACAAACCCTAATTTTTTTACATTGGGTGAAACAGAACTTTTTAAACGAGTTTATGCCTCAAAGATTGAAAATCTAAAAAAATAATAATAAAAAAAACCAGAAACAAAAAACCAAACCTGATTAGTCTATAGAGCAGCTTTGGGTTTACTTCTCTTTATTTAGGTACTTTTGCTTATAGTAGCGTAGCTTTTTTAATTGCAGTTTTATTTTAGGTCTAAACCTATTGCTTTATTCCTCTCCAGAAGCACTGAATGAAAACTACGTGCACACACCTCAAAGTTTGAAAAAAATAGGTCATTTTCAAGAGTAACAACCTATTGCTTTATTCCTCTCCAGAAGCACTGAATGAAAACTACGTGCACACACCTCAAAGTTTGAAAAAAATAGGTCATTTTTCAAGTGTGACAGAGTCATTTTAACCCTTTGGAGAAGGAGCATTACTGGGACCGACTGCCAAGAGGACACTTGGTCATGTACTTACTGCACTCAGAGGGTTAATTATCTAGCACTAGGTTAATAGGCTCGGGTTTTAATTATTTTAGCAAACTTAAAACCAACAGCATGTTCTGGTGCTGCACAGAGGAACTCAGTAGCCTCTTCCCAGCTCTGACATAGTCTCTTTTTATCCTTGATTTAGAAAAATAAAACGAAAAAAAAAATTGCTTAAAAAAAATTTAAAAATAGCTGTGTCTCAGCCCAGCATTTGTCCCTCTGAGACCCCCTGATGAGAGGTGGCAGTGACCCCAGGAACCACACGTGACAAAGGGGTCCTGGTGGCCTTGTGTCACTCAACGCTGGCATCACTTAATATCCAATCCATATCTCATGGTTGGATAAAACGTGTAACTTTGCAGCAAAGCAAATGCAGGTAGAACAGAAAACATAGATTTGTCTAATTAAGAGCAGAGGAAGTTCAGGGGAAGGCCCTAGGCAGCGTCAAAGGGGGTGTCCCCAGCAGAGCAGCCCAAACCCATGTCAGGACTCACCAGGACTTGCACCCCCTCATCTCAGGGCTCCCCTGGTCCCCCCGCAGCACCAGGGATCCAGCCTTGGTCCAGGTCACACCGACCAGCAGAAGGCCCATCCCTATCCCAGTTATTCCAGCAGATTCCTGCAAAATCTCCCCCCCTCTCCAGAGCCTTTCCTGGTGCACTCAGGGCACAGCAGCATCTCCATAAACCCACCAGTTTAGAGCCAGACCTTCCCCCCCTCCCCAGCCCCCCGTGCTTCCAGCTTCTGCAGTATAAACTCAGAATAGCCGCCCAGTAAAACCACAACACCTTCAGTTTATACTGGTGGGACTGAAAAAATTTCATTTTTCTTCTTTTTTTTTTTCCCCTCTCCCCCAAAACATGAGATAAGAGACCTTTAAGCTGCCCCTTTCCAAGACAAAACACTGAGCAACAACCAACTCTCCTTACGTGCCCGATAACTAAATGCCAAAACAAAGCTATTTTTATGAATACCAAAAAAAAAGTGTCTTTAGAAATGCTATATGAAGTGTTACCATTTTACATTAATACTCTGGGTTGGTTTTGTTTTTTTAATAGAAGGAAAACTTCGCCCTTAAGCTTTTATCACCACAAGATTATAATTTTTTTTTTCCTTAAAGTTTTCACAGCAATTTCAACTCTTCTTGAAATAAGTCTTTGAATTCCTGAAATCAGTTTGAATGTAGAAGTCATGGAAGTACCACTTCGTTAAAGCAATTAAAACCACTGTATGTATGTAGCAGGGATAAATGTTTCGCAGCTGTACTTTCATTTGTCCAATGACTATCCATCATTTGTTGTAATTTTTTTACTTCACTGAGTTTGTATTTTTTTTTTTTGGCTTTTATGTTCAAAATATGTTTATAGCTTTATAAATAAAGAAATTGCCAGACTGGCTATTCAAAATAGGCCACTGGAAGTTATAATCCTATCACACTGTCAAATAACTTTCTTAGAATTCAAGAGGTTCCTGCCTTTTTTCCCCTGAGCCATTCGTATGTATAAATAGTTTTTACAATAATTTCTAATAGTTTTCAGTGGGTAAGACTAAAATAGCAAACCAAGACTAAGAAAAAACACTTTCTGCCACCACCACTGACCCCTTGCCTTCCCTCTCCCTGCCCCACATGTCATCATTTTAGCCAAGAAGAACCATCCCTGAGCATCCTGTGACCTTTTTTAAATAATAATAATAAAAAAAAATAGGTTAAGGCAACATCATACAAGTCAAACAGCAACAGAGTTTAACAGTGGGGAATTGGACAGTCTCTCTCCCTTTCAAGAATTTTCTGACTAGCAAGACTTAGAGTATTAAAAATATATTAAAATATAAAAAGCTATACCAATAGCTTTTAAATATATATAAAATTACATATATAAACTATAAAAAGCACCCAGACTAGCTCTTTCTTCCACATACTACAGTCTAGACCTCCACACCCACACCAGTATCACCAGCCAACTGGTACCACCCCAGAGTTTCAGCAGCAGCTCCACCATTAGAGCATCTGACCACCCAGGGTTATGTTTTAGGCAAGCTGCTCTAATGATTTCTGATAATTAGCAAGTCTCACCACAGGGTCACAGGTGTGTTTTAGGCAGCTGTGACAAAGCAGAAACAAGGTGGTGAGGAAGACAAGCTCCATGGCTTTGTCTCCTCCTCATCCTGCAGCCCCCGAGGCAGCAGCTCTAAAACACAGGTCCCAGTCCCATGACAAGCACCTGAAGGAATTTATGTATTTATTTTGTATTAAATTACAGCACAGGCTTCTCCATGCACAGCACTCCAAGGAATGTATTAAATTACAGCACAGGCTTCTCCATGAGCAGCACAGCACTCCAAGGATGAAACTAGTGTATCCTGGAACACCAACTTCACACACAGATGGATTTATTTCTTGGAAGAATCCAGGATAAACTGAGTATGAAACTACAATTATAGCCACAGGAAGAATTGGCATCACTAGATTTTTCCCTAATAGCACTTTTAAACTGAGGTGTGTTGTTTGCAATACAGGATGCTGGAAAGGCTTCCACATGTCCCAGTCTAGCACTATTTTATACCCACTGACAATATAGTATCTATATTATGCCCATATAATATACACACCAGCACAAAGACAGGCCCAGCAACCTCACAGATAAGCAGACACAAGCATGGGTTTGAAGGGTGCCTCAGAGCAAGCTGGGAACCCTTTCATTAATGGTTAAATCAAAGATCACCTAAAAGCTAGTAAGCCATCAAAAAAATACATCCATCTGGATGGCTTGCTGCTTAATTTCTGACCTTGCCCACTGTATCCAACTACTGGCTTGCATCGGTCATTTCACAAAATCTTTACATCTGTTTGCTTTCAATTAACTATTATTTGTACACTCAGTGGTAAGTGACAGTGAGACTGTCTAGTCTGAAATAACTAGAACCAGTTGCAAACCAAAGTTTAAAAGCCCTTTATTAATTCAGAAGTGAAACACTGATATTTTAAAGTGAGATAAGTATGTTTATTAAGGTTCGTTCTACTCTAAGGTTTATACAGAGAATGGAATGCAATACAAGCTAAGAGCACACCTCAAAGATCTACCACACAACCACCCCCTACTCCCTATAAGGGAACTGTAAAAAAAAAAAAATAAAAATCAGAAAACCAGTTACTGTTCAACTAGTTGCAAGTGGCTTTGTCCAAAGAAGTTAAGCTTGATATTGCATTAGCTTTGTATGCAATAATTAAGTCTCTACAAGCTGAAGTATCACATACAGAGGCGTAAGATCTCCTGTGGACACACAAAACCATGTTTTAAAGAGCTACAGCACAAGGGTTGTTTAGAATTGCCTAAAAACAAGCCACTAATGGCATGCACAGGTCAGTAATATTAACTTTGGTAATGTCAGTCATTTTTTTGGTCAAACCTGGATTCCACTTTTAAAAGTAACATATAAAAACACACCCATCCTGTGCATAAAGCAACACACTTTTGCTACCAACTAGAGGCAGGTCTTCAAGACATGGTTGAACTATTCAAATTTAACTGCCAGGAGCTTGCTTAGTTCTAGATCACATCTTCCACTAGTCTAGAAAGCAAGACTAACAAGTCAAGAAAGTGGTCAAATATTTTTTCCTTTTTTTTTTTCTTTTTAAAATGCAGGACAAAAGCCACCTTGAAAGTTATATAGCTTTAAGTAACACTAAATTTTCCCCACTGTATTTGGAAGAAATCCAGTAACTTTTTTTTTTTCACACTTTACCTAGATCCCCAAGACATGTTCTAGTTTGTCTGTCTTTCTGAAGCTACCAATACCCTGTAAACTCAAAGTGTCTTGTTCTTCCTGAGGAAGAAGTCACAGGTGGTTTTATTTACAATGGAGTCAATCCTTAGCATTGTAACTGGACTCAAATGGTTTAAAAGTGTAATGAAAATGATAACCTTAAGTGTTACTTTCCATACAGAATCCACACTTAGTTCAGTTTTATTCATTGCAGAGTAAAGTAAAAAGACATCCAATTACACTAGTAAAAACTCAGAAGATTTAAATTTGTACTCAAAAAAAAACCCCACTACACATGCAAAGGGAACAATATCCTGCTAACACAACTTCATTTGCTGCTGCATTTGTCTAATATTAACAATTATGAACAGAGCAGTGCAACTAGTATTTGGAACAATCCTTACAGTGTTCGAGTGTCAGGCACAAAACTTCACTTCTCTTCACACCACTGGTTCTCTTTACGTACCTAAAAAGAACATTTTAGCCATTAATACAGCGCAGTGAACTTCCAAAAGCCAGCTATGAATTCCCATAAGCACTCAGGATTGCTTATTGCAGGAAGGTATAAATTTGGAAGCAGCTTTAATTTTTCATGCAGGGTTTGCAATTCGAAAGTCATCTTCCAAACTGAACTCTGCATCAATATAAACCAGGAAATGCATTTCTCATGCCTAGATTTGATCTAAATTGGGCTAGCTTAGGACCTAGGGTCTTTTTAGTCTGGAGAAGAGAAGACTGAGGGAAGGATCCGATCAATGCCTATAAATACTTAAAGGGTGTCATAAGGATGAGGCCAGTCTTTTTTCAGTGGTGCCCAGTGACAGGACAAGAGGAAATGGGCACAAATTTGAACATAAGACATTCCATCTAAACATGAGGAGGAACTTCTTCACTTTGAGGGTGGCAGAGCCCTGGCAGAGGCTGCCCAGGGAGGTGGTAGAGTCTCCTTCTCTGGAGACATTCAAACCCTCCTGGACATGTTCCTGTACAACCTGCTCTGGGTGGACCAGCTTTGGCAGGAGGTTGGACTGGATGATCTCCAGTGGTCCCTTCCAACCCCGTATCATTCTGTGACTCTGTAAATTGCTTGGTTCCTGATGTAGCAATGAAGACAAACCTGAGTGAACAATTCAGTCCCTTTGTGTTTAAACAAGGCATCTTGTTCTGATCCTTCCCTACTCTCCCATTTTGTAGTTGGTTTGCTGTTTTCAAGTTCTAAGATCGAAGAGCTCATTACTTAATGATCAGAATCCAAGCATCTCACCTTTCTAGCCACATGCAGAAATGCATCTTCAGCACTTTTACTACAGCTCCAAAACAGCCAACTAAGGCTGCCACAAACAATCCTACATGTTTTTTCACCAGACACACATTTCAGAATCCAAGCATCTCACCTTTCTAGCCATATGCAGAAATGCCACAAGACTGCCACAAACAATCCTACATGTTTTTTTCACCAGACACACATCTAGCTAAGAAATATGCTTTGTTTTGACCTTTTTGGGCAATGAGCTGCAAGCACTGTGGGTACTGAAAGGTCTTCCACCAATTGCAACCCCATTATGAGGAGCTGATGCATTCATTCACATTTATCCTTAACAAATCTGTTGTACCCCACATTAAATTATGAAGTGCCACACACTAATTCAGCACAACAAGCTGAATGAAATTTAAACCCAAAGTGCCACACACTAATTCAGCACAACAAGCCAACTAAATGAAAATTAAACCCGTGTCAAGTACCTGTGCTTCTTCCTCCTCAGTGAAGTCATTCTTAATATTGAACGTCTTGCGAATTTCTTCTGGAGTTTTCCCCTTGATCATGTTTGCAACTGTCTTGCACGTGACATCAAGCAAACCTTTGATGTCCAAGTAATTTGCAGCCTGTAGAAGAGTTTCCAAATGTAAAGCCTCCATATCGATATCCTGCAGATGTACTACCAAAGTTGTGCTTACACTGAAATTATAGAATATTATAACGGCAAACAAATCATCTGTTTTGAGAAGCTTCTAGCTAGAAGCCAGTAGCTGCCAGAACTACTTGCCCTCCTCCCACATCTTCCACCATGAAGACATTTTTCAAGAAGCATAAAGGTTTTATTTATGAAGTGCACTAACAGAGGGCACTTCAGACATCACCTTTACTCCACTTGAACTTACCAGGATGAGTTCAAAAAGCGTTCCTTGGTCTACTTTCAGAAACTCCTGATCCCACACAGGGATGTCATCTGTTCTTTTTTCTTTGTTCTCATCATCCTCAGGAGGAGGTGGATCATCCTTGTGATGGGTGCACCACTGAATCACCTAATTAGGGAGGTGATAGTGAAGTTTTATCCAAATGACTCTCCCATTAGGCCCCAACTAGATTAATATTAGAACCCTGTACAATCATGCTCCACTAACCAATATTTTCATCTTCGAATAATTGATCCTCAATCCTGAAGTACAACAGTCTTCAAGAATCTCATCTGAGAGAGGAGCTAGTTAATTACTTACAATCTTAAAAGCCAGCTGCTGGTGTTACAAAGTTACTCAACCCTGTGCTAACACACCCAAGACCATGCAAAAGGAAGTCTAAACCTCATTTTGTGCCATTTAATCTGCTTGCAGAAATATAATTCTTATTAAGCAGAATGCTACATGAGGGAAGGGCATAGAGTGGTAAC